TTAATGATTTGCAAATCCCATTCAGAGGAATTGGAAGATCATTTTTTTTACTTTACATAACAAATCATCAAAGTTAATAATAATAATAATTGTCGATAAGAAAGACAAAAAAGTCTGGATAGTGGACGTGGCAGTGCCTGGAGACAGCAGAATAGAAGAGAAAGAACTGGAGAAGATAACAAAATACAAAGACCTACAAATAGAAATAGAAAGACTGTGGCAAAAGCAAGCAAGGGTAGTACCAATAGTCATAGGCGCCTTGGGTGCAATCCCAAAACTGGAGCACCACTTGAACACCATTGGCATTGACAAATTCGCTATTAGTCAACTGCAAAAGGCGGTCTTATTAGGAACTGCTTCCATCCTGTGACGAGATCTGTAATACCATCAAACATCCACATCTGCCTATCCCAGGTCCTGGGTAAGGACTCGATAGGTAGACAAAATGCCAAATCCAGTCTGAACATCTGGCTGACTGTGCGATGATCCATAGTAATAATAATAATAATAATAATAATAATAATAATAATAATAATAATAATAATAATAATAATAATAATAATAAATCCTATAGCACACTCAATCATTCATTCATTTTATGTACCTCTCAAAACCTCACAAGCTTTTAGCTCCTCTAATTTTCAAGGTTATGGGATCTGGGTTTTGTTTTGTTTTGTTTAAAAAAATGATGCTGCCAAAAAAAGCAATTTCTGTTCTTCATCATCCTAAAATGAAGCTGCATTTCACATTGCTGAAATCAGCAACACGTTGATTGATGTTTCCACAGTCCCTTAGACATCAAAACAGTATTGAAATATACATTTTAAAGTCCATAATAGTAGTAGAATGCATGTGTTCCAGCATCTCCAGAAACGGTGAATGCTCCAACACTGGAAGTTTTTAAGAAGAGACTGGACAACCATTTGTCTGAAACGGTATAGGGTTTCCTGCGTGAGCAAGGGGTTGGACTAGAAGACCCTTCCAACTCTGTTACTCTCATATTCTGTTATCTCTTTCTAAATGGCTTGCCTTTGTAAAGAAAAAAAATTAAATGTCTTAAATTCAATCCCAGATATTAATATAAACACTCTAAAAGAAAGACATGCTATAAATCTCAGATTTCTATTCTATCTTTTACAACTCTTTCTTTTCCTACTGCAGATAATCCTCGACTTAAAACCTTTCTATTTAGTGACCGGTCAAAGTTACAACGGCACTAAAAAAAAGTGACTTATGAATCTGCTCAGTCATGTGATCAAAATTCAGACCCTTAGCAACTGGCTCATATTTATGATCATTGCTCTGTGGTGGGATTCAGCCAGTTCATACCAGTTTGGCAGAACCAGTAGCTAATTTTTTGTTGCCCAGGCCCAGAACGGACTTCTGGAAGCAGCATCCACACAAAGAACCAGTTGTTCACATATTTGAATCCCACCACTGCCATTGCTGTATCTCGGGGGTTACGTGATCTCCTTTTGGGAACTTGTGACAAGCAAAGTCCACGAGGAAGCCAGATTTACTTAACTGCTGTGTCACTAACTTAACTCCTGCAGTGATTCACTTAAGAACTGTGGTAAGAAAAGTCGTAAAGCGAGACAAAAGTCACTTAACAGATGTCTTGCTTAGCAACATAAATTTTGGGCTCCATTATCATAAGTCGAGGACTACCTGTAGGTGGAACATGCCGCCATTTTTTCTCTTGAATAATCTCTTATTTAATCTTATAAACGATAGAACTTGCATTTCCCTCACCCCACCTCCAAATGAAGTGGAAAATCAAAACTGTGGAATTAGATTCTTGAAAAGGCAACTTTCAATTTATGATAGAGAAAAAGCACAACAGCAGAGGTGGTAGGGAAGCATCATCTGGGGAGGGAACCACAGAGTAATTGAATAGCAAAATAGATGTTTTGCATGCTCAAAGCCCAAGAAGGAAAATTTTCAGAAGGAAACACATTTCTATATGAATTTTTTTTTTTTGAGGGGGGAAAATTGACCCAAAAGACTCCCTCCTTTAAAAACCTAATCTCTATAGGAAAATGTTATTTGCTGCGATTATGAATCAGTTGCTGGTACATAAGAAGTAAGGGAAGCAGCTTAGCTAGTAAACATCTCAGAACACGCTACTCTTCGTGTAGCTATGGAACAAGGCGACTGCGTGAACAGAGAACCTGAGGATCAGACGGTAGAACTTATTTTCTGAATATCTATAAGTAAGAATTAGACTTTCGCACGTGTCTCCTAAATTTCTACGCCACTCAATTTTATGGGTACATTTACTCTGAAGTCAGCACATCCTCCTGTTGGAAGTTAGCACCCACCCACCCTCCTAGAGAAAGAAATATTTTGGGGGGGATATTAAAAAGCAGAATATTATATTTCCCCAAAGGATCTTAAAGGCAGAAAAGCAGGCCCAGTTTTCTTAATAGCCCCAGGTAGATGCCAGATCTGTAGAAATGTAAATTTGATAATCCTATTCAGAAAAGTTGGGGCCTGGAAGCTTGGAGCTGATGAGATTAGAAAGACAAAGACCCCTAAAATCTACATACCCCACCCAAACTCTAAAGACATGACCTTTAGGACATAATAGGATTAACCCACCAATACCAGAAAGGCACACTGAACCTCAAGTCAAAGTTCATGCCACAGGAACAACTCCAAACACAAAAGCCCAAGAAGGTATAAAAACCCACCACTCCCAGCAACATTTGGTCAGTTTTCCCAGAGCCATCTTTCTGTCTGGCTCTGCTCTTCAATAAACTGCAACCTTCTTTCTAAAGCAGTCTCCATTTTGTTTATTCCCAGCTTGGACTGGACCCTGATGAAGATTTTTCTTTCAACACTGCCATAGCTCTGATTTGTAAGCATTTGGGTAATCAGGCCTCAGGGAGACTAATTAGCACTTAGCACATCCAAAACTATGATTTATGAGGAGCTACCATAGAGAAACCCTTCTTAAACTAGTTTGTGGCTGCAATGATTGCACATCTCTGCACTTGAGTGATCCTGTTGTATCCAGTCCAGACATACTGAATTACCCTCTTAAAATTGAGGCTGATTGGAAAGATTCTAAACAAGAATAGGGATTCATGCAGAGACACCACAGGGAAATCTTGTCTTGTGAGATATATATTTATGTTTCTCCTTTCTACGTTAATTTGCTTCTCACTGCACCCGGATAATCCTCTCGGTTTGGGGATCTCTGGATCGTAACTAAGTCTCCTCAGAGGTATTTTTGTGGAGGAAATTCCAAAGAGAATCTAGCTTTATGCTCATCTAGTTAAAGCAACTCCACTTAAAATCTTTCGTCGGAAGCAGAATGGCAATTGCTTATATTAACTGTGCCAAGGAAGGAAGGAAGGAAGGAAGGAAGGAAGGAAGGAAGGAAGGAAGGAAGGAAGGAAGGAAAGAAAGAAAGAAAGAAAGAAAGAAAGAAAGAAAGAAAGAAAGAAAGAAAGAAAGAAAGAAAGAAAGAAAGAAACTTGGCCTACATCATATCATCAGCAAGAAAACAGGGATCCTTCCTGAGACCAACCATCGTTTCCCCCCCACACACATTAGTATTAGTATTAATACCCATTTCTATTTTTATTCAAAACAAGGGATACCCTGTCTTCTTTTGTGAGAAAATAAAAATATTCATCCACCTCCATGTACCATTCTTGTTCAAGCATTCCCAGATACAATTCCTGTGCATGCAGGTTACAACTGTACACCGACAAACACGCAAACACCCTGCCAGGCAAACTCATGACAACTCACACCAAAGGAAAATTAACAACAAACGACGACGTAAAAAAAAACACAAAAGTGAAATAAATAAGACCTTTTAAATAAATTAATTAAATAAATAAATGGATAGATAAAACATCCATTCATTTTGACGGTTCCTTAAATTGCACCCACACAACAGAGAGCTCTACAAGCCTGGTGGATATTTGAAAGACCGACGGAAAGTTAAAGAAAAATCATTTAAAATCCACACGCTGCTTCCGAGCGTCCGTTCCATCCTTGTTTTCCTTGCCTATGTTCATAATGCATATCCGTTTTTTTACAAAATGCATGCTTGTATTTTTTTTAAAATATATATATATATATAAGTATATTTATATATTTTCCAGAAGGATTTGACCTGGCAAGCAAAAGTAACCTTCCTTTTCCGCCTTGCCCTTAAAGACAAATTAAAAAAAGTGAATACAATCTAATAAAATCTAGCCTTTAAAAAACGGAGAGAACTTACAAGGGTTCGCTCGGTATAATTGACCATTTACAGTTGCATGCTTGACTCAGCAAAAAAAAAAAAAAGAAAGAAACTGGAAAACTGCAGCTATTTCCTATCGCCTCCACTTTTTTTTTTTCATTTCTCTCCCCCCCCCCCTTTTTTTGGATCAAAGAAAGCAGGCCAGAACACAAATTTCTCCAGAGGAAGAATCGGTAGAAAATCAAAACGATATACCTGATGCTTCGATAAGATACTTTTGTTAGTCACATGGCACTAGTAGTGGAATTGTGCGTGTGCACCCGTACCCACACACTCAACACTCGCACACACACCCTTAGTTCACACACATCACGACCTGCTTAGGAAGGAGAAGAAAGAGGTTTTCGTTTTGTTTTTTGTTTGTTTGTTTTTTTTAGGTCAAAGAGTGCCAAACGGCACGAGAAAGCTCACAGGTGTGTAACTTTGGAATTTAAATACCCAATTCCCATCACCTCAGATCGCGGATCGTGGAGGGAAGGGAAATTGTAAGGCATTATTTTTGCTGGAAAATAAGTCTGTCCGTGCTTCGTGCGCCAGAGCTGAGTTTCAGGGGAGTAGTGTCCTTCCCTTGAATTCCTTCTTCTTCTTCTTCTTCTTTTCCTCCTGGGTTTATGTTAACCTCACTCTGGTTCACTAGAGGAATTGGTTCTTTTTGTTTTGTTTGTTTATTTTAAAAAATAATAATCTTAGGAAACAAACGCCACCCACCCACCCACCAATCCCTGCCAACAAAGTGCCTTCAAATAGATTTCCGTCGTCTCATCAGCCTGTGATGGTCCGTAAAGCTGTGCAATCCAGGGGAGATTGAACTGATGGGAGATGGGAACAGGCTGTTTTTTAATGTGCTTGGTGAGATCTCCTCAATCTTGTAGGAGATGGAGTGAAAGTACTGGAGGTTCAGTTTGGAGCTGAAGGAATTTTGCTGGGAAACCACCCGGCTGGTGTATTCATGGGACCTGTAACACATGCAGGAACAATCAGACTGAAGATCCGTCACCTCGGCCTTGTACCGTGGGCGGCCATGTTGAGAGTCTTCTTGGATGTGGACCACCATGCTACTCCGGTTTCCCGCCTGGGAGGCCCTCTCCTCAGCCTCCCGTCTCTCTTCCTCGATGTTCATGAACAACCTGAGAACAACCAGATTGAGGAAAGCCCCGATGACGGTTAATCCCACCAGGATGTACATAAAGCTAAAGGCCACATAGAGCGGCTTCTTCTGAAGAGCTCCTTTCGTCTGAAGGGCCACGTAGTCTCCGAACCCGATTGTAGTCAATGTGATAAAACAGTAATAGAAGGCCTGAAAGAAGGTCCACTCTTCACAATGAGAGAAGGCAGCTGCTCCGATGCAGAGGGTGCCGATGCAGGAGAAGAAGCCGACGGCCACCATGTTCTCCATGGAGACCTCGATGCTTCTCATCCGGCAACACTTCTTCATCCGTTGCAAGAGGTACTTGACGAAGGTGTTCATGCGTTCGCCGAGGCTCTGGAACATGACAAGGGTGAGTGGGATGCCCAGGGCAGCGTAGCACATGCAGAAGGCCTTCCCTGCATTCGTCCCAGGGGCAGCGTGGCCGTAACCTGGAGAAGCAAAAGGACAACATGGATAAGTGATGGAAGAGGGAGGATTGCAACTGGGGAGGGGGCAGACATGACTAGAGCCCTCAAGATATGAGGAAAGATCACAATGTTTGAGAAAAAACAGAGGGAGATGGTATGCTCCCTTATCCCAAAAGTGTTTTTTCCCAGAAGTCAACTGGACTTTCTTGGGGGGGGGGTTGTCTTGGAAACCTTTTGCTTCTCATCCAAGAAGCTTCTTCAATTTTGATTAATTGGTGGGGTTCCAAATCCCACCGTTCAGCTTTAGCACATCACCTTGAGGTTCAGTACCATGAACAAGAGAGTAGACCTGCCTATGGAGATTCTCAATCAAGGGTCTTCAAACTTGGCCCTTTGATGACGTGTGGACTTCAACTCCCAGAATTTCTCAGCCAGCCTCCATTTTGTTTGTTAGATTTAAGACAGGGGTCTTCAAACTGGACCCTTTTATGACTTATGGACTTCAACTCCCAGAATTCCTCAGCCAGCGTGCCTGGCTGAGGAATTCTGGGAGTTGAAGTCCACAAGTCATAAAAGGGCCAAGTTTGAAGACCCCTGTTCTCAATCATCCAGCTCATAGCTGTCCCAAAGGTTCTTCTTTTTTTTCCAAAGACAGTTGGACTTTCTTGGTATTCTCTTTGAAAACATTTCTCTTCTCATCCAAGAACAACCGAAGCTTCTTGGATGAGAAGCAAAATGCTTTCAAAGAAAAAACCAAGTTGGAAAAAGCACCTTTGGGACATCCAAGCTCAGAAAGCACTAAGGATCCCTCACCTCTTGCATACCCTCACTTTATGATCACATCACTTAGTGATGGAAATTTTGTTCTCAATTGTCACTGTCTACCTATATAGGGGAGGTCATTGTGGCTACTACCGGGTACCATACAGTGTATGTGCATTGTAGTCCACAGAATCGGAAAAATGTGGACTCCGAAATACAGCTGCCATCCTGGCCACAGGAAGTTATCTGGCCTTGAATTGGTTGTTAGGGCCCACCCCTTCTAAGGACTTTTTTCAAAGGAGCAAGATTCCTCATTACCTGGAAACGAACCATTTGCAAATCATCATTTACTCCATGCACCGTTTCCCAGGGTTAGCTTCAACCACATCAAATTAATTTCCTATATGGAGCATTTTTACAGAGAATGTTTGGGACTCGTGCGCTGCCTGAAATGATTCCACCTCAGAAAAATGCTTAATATTCTTTTTCATCCTGCAATCCAGAATTAGAGTCACTGGGAGTCGTGTGGCATATACATTTACATCATTATTGTTAATAATATTTCATTAGCCATCATAAAGTTTATAATTAACAGCCTTAAATTATTATTAAAAACACTTTTTGCAGTTAGTCTAAAAAAAGGAGATACTGCACTTCTGGGAAAAGGCTATTATTGATAAGGAGAAGGAGAAGGAGGAGGAGGAGGAGGAGGAGGAGGAGAGGAGGAAGGAGGAGGAGGAGGAGAAGAAGGAGAAGGAGAAGGAGAAGCGAAGAAGAAGAAGAAGAAGAAGAAGAAGAAGAAGAAGAAGAAGAAGAAGAAGAAGAAGAAGAAGAAGAAGAAGAAGAAGAAGAAGAAGAGGAGGAGGAGGAGGAGGAGGAGGAGGAGGAGGAGGAGGAGGAGGAGGAGGAGGAGGAGGAGGAGTAGGAGGAGGAGAAGGAGAAGAAGAAGAAGAAGAAGAAGAAGAAGAAGAAGAAGAAGAAGAAGAAGAAGAAGAAGAAGAAGAAGAAGAAGAAGAAGAAGAAGAAGAAGAAGAAGCCTGCCATATGACACCCCAGACTTAACAATTGTCGATAAGAATAAAAAAGGCTGGATAGTGGACACAGCAGTAACCTGGAGACAGCAGAATAGAAGAGAAAACACAAAAAGCAATACAAAGATCTGCAAATAGAAGGAGAACGAGCAAAGATAGTACCAATTGTGATAGATGCATTGGGTGCAATCCCAAAACATCTGGAGAACCTGAACACCATCAGCACTGAGAAATCCCCATCAGTCAATTGCAAAAGGAAGTTTTGCTTGGAACAGCTTACATCCTGCAACAATAACTTTAACACCATCAAATATCAACATCTGCCTATCCCAGATCCTTGGGAAGGACTTGATAGGAGGACAAAAATGCCAAATCCACTGTAAACATCTGGCTGACTCTGCAGTGGACCATTGTAATAACATTCTTTTGAACTAAAACAAGGACAACAATTGAAATGCAGCCCTATCCAAAGAATATGATCAAGTTATTACAATTCCAAGCTCAATGTCTCAGTTATCTAGATTCAGTTAACAAGAGCACACATTCTTCTGAAAACTATATTTTGCTATTTTTCTGCTGCAGAAGAAGACCGTGGGCAATTTAAATCAAAAATTCCCTCTTTGGAAAAGTCAAAGGAACAGGCAGTCCCCAAAGCCTAATATTCAACCTCAAGGGTCCTCCAAATGTGGTTATTAAATTATAATTGTTAATGTGACATCGGGGAAAAATGATTGAAAACCTGGATGGAGATTAATCCAATTACCTATATTTAATGCAATTTTAATGTAATTTGCATGCAAATGAAATCCATTTCATTTTCCCACTCCTGTTCTCGCCACTTTATAGACTGTGGTTCTCTATTGCCGCATTTGAAGACCAAGGGCAAACCACAGCTCGGAAACATAAATCATTTTTTAAAAAATAAAAAAAAGCTTTTTGAAAATCTATGCAGGTAGCCCTGAATTTATGATCACAACTGAAACCAAAATTTCCAATGCTAAGCAAGGCGGTTGCTAAATGACCAATTTTACAACCTTTGTGCCATGGTTGTTAAGTGAATTACTCCCTTTGTTAAATGAATCCAGCTTCCCCCATTGACTTGGTTGTTGCTGTCAGTTGTTAGACAACAGACAGAGTGATGATCTGATCTGGTGGAGAGCAAATCAATCCAAACATTTCGACAGCAAGGTGGCTTTTGTTCCTCAGAAGTTTGGCAAAGACGAGATTTAAAGATATCCACCAAGTATTAACAGTGCAACTGTGGAGGTGGTTAGTATGTAGTATCAAGTTTCTAGGTGTTCAGTTGACAAGGAAGCTGGCTTGGTCACTCCACAGTGAGATACTGGTGAAGCAAACACAGCCACGCCTGCATTTTCTGCATCGTATGAGAAGAGCACATCTTCCTTCCCCTGTCCTTACCACTTTCTACAGAGGGACGATTGAAAGCATCCTGTCATATTGTACTACTGTGTGGTTTGGAGGTATTACAGTTTCAGACAGAAAGGCAGTGCAGAGAGTGGTGAGGACGGCAGAAAAGATTATTGGAAGTTCACTTCCTTCTATCCAGGACATGGCATCTAAGCGATGCTTGATCCGGGTCTGCAGTATTGTCAGACTCTACACATCCTCTCCATGACCAGTTTTCTTTGCTAATTTCTGGGAGGGGGCTTCTCAGTATCCAAAGCAGAACAACCAGATTGTGTAATAGGTTTATACCATATAGTATCCATCTTGTTGACTCTTAAGACTCTTTTTTGCGCTGTGCATTCCAAATGGTCTCTGTGTGTGTGTGTGTGTGTGTGTATATACAGCATGTGTGTGTGTACAGTATTATATGTATGCCTGTATATGTATGTATATATGTGTGTGTGTATAGTATATGTATATGTATAGTATGTGCATGTGTGGGTATGGGTGTGTGTGTATAAGTTTGCAGGAGGTATCTGATCATCATCAGCTCCCACTCTTGTGGGAGCTGCACTGAATGGTATCTGCTTCTGGATACCATTCAAGGTGCTGGTTACCACCTTTAAATCCCTACATGGCATGGGATCAGGCTATTTGAAGGATGTCTCTTCCCCCTTAACATCCACTTGGCCCACCAGGACTGGAAGGCAGGGTATGTTACAGGTCCCATCGATTAGGGATGTACATCTAGTGCGACCATGAACAAGGGTCTTCTTGGTGGTGGCCTATGGAACATTCTGACCCAATGTAGAGTTGGCCTCTAACATAGTGCTTGTAGAATATGCAAACCTCAACTCCGGTACTTGCCAGACAATCTGAGTGTGCTGCCAGAGATTATTGATATGTAATCTAACATCAACCAGCTATCCTCAAGATACACAATGGGTACTTCTGAACCCAAAATCTGCCACATTGATTTTCTCAAACCTCTTCCCCCCCAAACAAATGAAGTTATGGAGCTTATGTTCATGAGGTACTGTACTCCTAAATTCTGCATTCTCTTGCATGTCTGGAAAATGAGTATCTTCATCCAGGTCAGAATACAGGAGAATAGAATTGGGAGGAACCTTGGAGGTCTTGTAGTTCAACCCCCTAGACAGGAAACCCTATATCAGGAGTCCCCAACCCCTGGTCCACAGCCCGGTGCTGGGCAGCTGCCCATTCAGGACTGGGCCACACAAGCAGTGGGCGAATGCACAAGTGTGTGAAGCCACATTTGTGCAAGCAGCATGCGTGTGTGCGAAACTATCCCCGCCACTGCTATCACCATTCCGGTCTGCAGAGCTGGAAAAGTTGGGGACTGCTGCCCTATATTATTCTGAACATATGGCTGTCCAATCTCTTCTAAAAAAAAAAAACCTGCAGTGATGAAGCACTCATAGTTTCTGGAGGTACACCATTCCACTGATTAATTGTTCTCACTTCCAGGAAATTTCTCCTTAATTCTAGGTTGGACCTCTCCTTGATAAGTTTCCATTCGTTACTTCTTGTCCTGCCTTCTGGTGCCTTGGAAAATTGATATGACTGCTATCATATCACCCCAATCCTTCTCTTCATTAGACTAGACATACACAGTTCCTGAAACCATTCATCGTACGTTTTAGCCTCTAGCCCCCTTTGTTGGTCTTCTCTGATAATCAGTTAGCACTTTCCACATGCCAATGGAGGCTTTGTTATGGCAATTCAAGTTTTATTTGCTGCGCATCTTGCGTCCAACAAATCTGGACAGCTTACAACATAATTTTTTTCCCAGAAATTATA